CTTTGACCTTAAAAAGCCGCTAGTCAAGAAAAGCCGTTCACCTCCAAAACAACATGCAAGAGAACCAACCCGCTTGTCCGCTTACTCGCTTTTCGCTCGGTGATGCACTTTGTTTTTTTCATTTTATAGAGTGAAACGAAAAGCATTTTCACAGTGTGGCACTAATGCAGTGACGCATGAATAGGAGCAGGAGTTGCAGGAGCGGGAGCTTTTTAACATGAGCACATGAGTTAACATGAGCGGGGATTTTTTCTTTCTTTTTTTTTTTATTACATGAGCGTCGGAGTTAACACGGTAATTTTTTAATTAGTAAATTTAATTAATTAATTAGTAAATGTAATTTATTAACTTTAATAATTATTATTTTAAAAATCTAATCGAGCTTCTTAACGACCATGTTCACGAACTTTAAATGATATTGTTCGTAAACATAAATGAACCGATCGTCAAGTTGTTCAAGTTCGTTTATTTAGCTATCGAGTATTTATTAAAAATGTTCAAACTCGTTCGTTTATCTTATCAAACAAACATGGACGAGCTCTTTTTAAGCCGAGCCACGAGTCACTCGTCGAACGCTCGGTTTATTTGCAGCCCTAGTCATTAGTTTGTTTCTTGTATTAATTTTAATATGATTGATATATTAGGTCAGTCTTTTTTTTCTCTTAGTTATATTTTAATTATGATTCATTTATAATCAAATATATAACTATTTTAGATTCCCATAAATAGCGTCTAGTTTCGATTCAACTAAATACATTAAATTTTTACCATACCAAATAATATATAATATGTTTTAGTTATTTTTTATAATTATCACGTTAATAAAAAAAACTTACAAAAATTACTAAATTACCACTCAATTAGTTGCTCAGGTGCACCTGGGACAAAGAATGTCCGCCTGCTCTGCCTTGTGGACCTGCCTTGGTCGGGATTTGTTCGATCGACAGTATTATTGGATTCAGCAATTTATGATAATCTAATTAAATAATTTTTGGGAAAGTATCCAATTAAATATTTTAATTTGTTTAAAAAGAAAATTAAACATTCTAAATTCTATTTTGATTATTTATCAAATTTTAAATTTTCACAAAAAATCACTTTAATCTAGCACGAATCTCGAAATATATTTGAATTAGAAATCTTCATAATTCAATTTACAACTATCCAAACACCAGTCTTAACAAATTTATAGTCAAACTAAACATTTCGACAAGATTAACCCAATGACATCAAAATTGGTCTAATCCGAATCCAGAGGGGTTTGAACCAAATAGTTGAAGCATACGTGAAAGCTTAAAAACATTAATTTAATAACAATGACTTTCAAATATGATATATTTATAGTCGAAGCAAGTAGCTCGACGAGATGAATCCGATGAGTCAAATATCACTTAATTCTGATATCATTAACGCACTTAACTAGCGAGAGCTCTATTGTATTTTTCAATCATTGTTGCCGACGACTACCACCAGCTATTGCCACTAACAACCACAACCGCCATCGACGACCAGCTTAAAAAATTATCACTTTCTCGAGAATATTAAGAAGATTTAACCATGTTGTTGGGTATATTTGCCCTCATGTGGACATCAGTTTTCTAAAATGACTCTTGGAAAAATTAAGTTTTATTCTTGGGCAAAGAATGTCCATCTGCAGACATTTGATTTTTGTACTCTTCATCTTCTTCAATAATGAAGAAAAGATTATATTTGTATCACTTACTACATATTGAATTTTGCAACTGGCCAGGCCTTGTGATTTTTTCCCTTTTCAAAATTTTCACATAAAAATTTCTTTTGGTCTTATCATTTTTATCTATTAGTACTGAGTATTTGCATATACATCAAGACCTTAAAAGGTTAAAAGTCTTAAAAGATACATGTAAAAAAAAGCTCAGAAAGCTAGAAGCCATAAATAGTATATATTTCTTTATATATAAATCTCAGAATGCTAAAATATGCATAAGGATTAAATTCCTCTAATCTAAATGCTCTAACTAAAGAAAAATATATCAAAGTATACATCAAAAAATACATAAATGACTTAGTTTCTTCTTGAGGGCAAGTTCATAAATTAATAAAAGTAGAATATTTATTACTTCAAAAATACAGCAAGCTCATAAAAACATCTCAAAGCCATATATAATATTATTACATTTACATGGTCATCTAAATAGTTTAATTGTAGGAAGTGAAGTGCTTTAATCAACATCATCTCGTAAATTGTAATGAATCTCGGAGGAAGAGTATGTGCCCGATTGGACCTTTTTGGGGCAATGATTAGCATATTATTCAACAAATAAATCATATTATCAATCACCACTAGATCATCAGGCTTCCACTAAATTTGCACTATGAGTGTATCGCTAGACTATTGTGGTCGGTAGTGTCCGATCCCATCCATCAAATTGTTTATTGTCTACCATCATTAATGTGCATACCTATATTCTCCAACAAAATGCAGCTTGACCATCGATATATGAAGTACTTGTTTATTTATTTTCATTACAAAATTTGTTTTTTTTTTTTCTACTAGCATTATGCTGACCATTCAATAGTATGTTAATGACTACTTTAAATTCAATTATATGCACAATGAAATAATTTTTAAAAATTTAGATTGGTTGGTGTGACTAGCTGAGCTTTGTTGGCTCACTCCTACTTTGCATTCTATTTCAAGTCAGGAAAAGGATAAGGAGCCTCAAGTAGTTGGAGGTCTAAGATTTGATCTTTTGTGCTTGGTTAGGTATTATTTCTAGGTTTTCTAATTTTGTACAGTCATGACTATTCTTTGATTTTTTTTTTTAGAATATAGTCATATACTATAGTGTAGTTGTACATATACATTTTGAAAATGAATGAAATAAAAAAAATATGGTCAAAACTTAGATCTTGGATTTAGTGTCACAACCCAACCCGATATGACT